TGCAGACTTTTTGCCAGATGAAAATGATGATTTTTCTGTCATATATAAGAACACTGACATTTTGCTGATGCACATTTTTGCTTTGCACTTTCGTTAATTTCTTTGAACTCCATCTGTGAGCAAACGCTGTTCCAATTCGAGTATCATCCGTCAGACAGGCGCATTAACGGTTGGTTGGGAGGTCTTTTTCCAGACGCTTCAAAATCGCAACTTGTCTTTCAACGTAGTTTCAATTTCAACTTTTTCCTTGTTGTTATAGGCGTATAGCGGTTGAACAGCTTTTTAATATGCTGACAGCCACATACAGATATAACAAAGGCGATTCAGGGAAGATGACGTGTGATAAAAACTTATCAGTCAGCAGATCTTCAAAGAGTTTCACTCATCATAGCTGGCACATAAAAATTGGGCAAGGTAATACCCTTAATTGATAGATGCTTACATTCGAAAGCAGAGGTAGCCGCATATGAGGAAGACAAGCCTTTATACATAGCTTGCTGATAGATGGCTCATGATGGTTTAAAACGTATCATAGTTGGTTTGCATACGCGCTGCCACAGAGAATGAGTCATCCCGGTCATTACTCAAAATATGCGGAAAATGCGACTGCGACCACTAGTTCTAAAAGCTTGGGAAACCTTTAGCCATATCATGGAGGGACAACGACCCATGGTATTTACACATCAGCAGCATTTGGACGCAAAACTGAATCACAATGTCGGATTGAACAGTAGCCATTCTCGAGGTATTAAACGGAATGCTTTTTAATAGCAGTGGACTGCATTATCTTGAACCTTACTTTAGGACATTACTTAAATAAGCAAACAAAACCATAACTTAAACAAGTGATAGAATAACGATCTTCCTTATACTTTTACTGTGCACTATTTCTGGCGCCCTTCTTTTTATGAAGATAATGATAAGGCGCTGATCTCCATTTCTATGCCATTAACCAGGAGTGCTTTATTTTTCTTTAATGGCAACAGCAACTATGTGATAAACACAGTATGTGGTCTCCTATTTCCTTCCCACAAAGTGGTATTCATTTATTACCATTAGAAGCAGGAATGCCTAGTGACCCTGACCGTGGTTCGAACCCGAGAACTATCGGTTTTAAATCTGACGCTATAAGTTCTGAGCAATCCCGGTTTTGAGTTAACCTGACTGTCGATACTCTCTTCTACTTGAAACGTCAGGTGGGTATTAATTTGTATGAAGGATGGCTCACGTTCAGATCGCTACTGTTTACGGATACCTTTATATTGATTTCGAGTGATATCTGCTGTTTAGATTCATGGCCCTCATGGCGAACCCGAACGTCATTTGGTGGTTAGCGAAGTACAGAAATATTTTTCCAGCCGCCGAGGAGTCCCCATGATCAAGGGAAAAAACTGTCGATTCGGAGCAGCATCGGCGTCATACATTAACTGTGCTATCACCACTTGTGTTTAACATTTCCACGAAGGATTGTACGGTCATGTATAAAATATGCCAGTGAGGTCATGAATGTCTTATTCATTGGATAAAACATGCGGATAACGTCATTTACGTGTTCTGAGATTGTTGGAGGACTCAGAGCGGTATTAGCTAGCAGCTAGTTACTGATAGAGGTGAATTTACCTCCTTTAATAAGTTCACCATTGATATGATAATGTTTATAAAACACGTTTCAGTATTGAGAACTACACAGGAGAATGTTCTTTTCGTGTATGAAAAGGCTGTCTTCCGATCAGTGCCAATAAAATACTATGGGGCAGCTTCGTCTTGAAATTTTGTGACGTTGTTGTACTGTTACGACTGTCATCACAGCTGGTTTAGCCGGTTCCAGTCACGTCTCGAATCGCTGCTTCGCAAGTCTATCGATCAAGCACAACGTCCGTTAAGAAGTTCTCTTATAAACCGCCTAGATGCTGCCAGATGAAACACTAATAGCCAGTGAATGATGATCTTCATTTCGATCCACTGCTAGGAAAAGGCCTCTCCAAGATATTGCCACCGAGTTGTGTCTTGTTTATTTTCATCTATGTTGTGCCAGAAAATTTCTTGAGCTCTTCTGATCGAATTTAATATACAGCAGTTGGCTGTGTATCTTCTCTTGGAACCAAAGTACGGTCTTTTAGTCCTGTACCATTTTAGCTTTTTCGCACTTGATTTGACATCACAGGTCTCCGTCTGCGTTCTTATCCTTTCGCACGTATCTGCCATTATTATAGCTATCTCCAACATACGCCTCTCCACGACACGGGGTGTCGCAACTTGTAGGTTTTGAACAGCTTCCAGGTCTTGGGTCCCTGTTGGCAGTTGAAGCGCAAATTGATCGAAGGCCTTCCGTTAGGAGCATAAGGGCAATTCGGCAGGTACGGGATATTGACCATAGACAAAGTGTATTTTCAGCCATTGAAACCAATCCGTCCAATGGAATCACGCTCTTCTCGCTAGTTATAGCTGTGGAGGCGTGGAATATATGCTAATGGAAGGTAAACTTTCATGTGGAAGGGTGATCGTTTTTCGCGGCACTAATAAACTTATACATCAGTAAACATACGTACTTATACACAGGTAAATATATAGTTCAGGAAGAAAATTTCTTCATAATGTACTTTTTCACTTATCAAAGACTCTTTCAAGTACTCTAATGACATTCGATTTTGGCGCTGATTACTTAACTGTAGTTTCTCTATGCCTAAATTTTATCTGGGTCAAGCTGTTGAGCGCATAAACGAGTCAATTGGGGAAGGAAGAGCAAACTTAAACACTCGCTTCACTGCCTACCAGAGTAAAACAGCCTTGTAAAAACAAATGATAATTTCTGACTGCTGAACGAAGCAGTGTAAAGCAAACCCGATCCATTCCGCCTCTGAAATGAACTGCTCTGAACGTGGATGATGTATTTAGCATGAACGATATTTATACGACCTTTGTCTCTTCAGTAAAATTTGAGTCCTTCCTGTCCTTGATCACGTACTTTCCATCAGCGGTGCTTGGGCTGCGGTCTTTTCGCCGAAAGTAACCGAAGGCTGACGGCTGCTGCACCGGCCTATTTATAACGGCAAGTAGTCACTGTGCTTAACCTACAAACTATGTGCATAATGAACGAGTTTTTGGACAGCACAGATTTCATTTGAACGGTAGAACGTCGTCACGAGAATACTTGCAGCATACAATAACCAGGACACGTGACGACATACATAATTCATTTTTGATCACTTTGGAACGTGCGTCTCTAGAGACGTGTCGAAAACGCTATTTTGTTGAAACACACGCAACTGTGATCATAAGGACCCTGATAAATCGATCATTTATGTCAGCGTCCCGGCAATTCTCCGGTGTCCGTGGAGGTTCAGTGCGTATACTTGTTTTAGGCAATCACAACGTAAGAGGGGCAGCAGTTAAAATATATAAAATTTTATGTTAAAATATTTGTATTCGCTTTTCTAGGTTGGGTGGGCGAGAATGGAAACGCTAGACGTTGTCTTTTGTTTGTTCATTTCGTGCTATTTATTCTAAGGCTACGTAAGCTTGAGCAGCACAGTAGCCTAGACTCACCAACATCAGGCCACGTTCACTGCCGCGGCAATGACTATTATCCTCGTAGCAGACGGACCTACCTCAGCGAGATGATTTATGAGGTTTCAATTTAGAATAGCCTGATCTGGACAATGAGCACAATTACTAATGTTTCATGGCGTTGCAGTACAAAAGTAGAAAACAGTGTCAGAGTTTTCTGTTTGGCGAAATTGGCACAAATTCTGGATATAACAGAGTGGCAGTTCGAAGAAGCTATTTTTATATGACAAAACATTCTCTGGCTTGCTCGGTTTTGTTGCATTTCCTACGTTTTTGTAGCTGAAATATTGGCTGAAGGCAGCAAACGGCAAATATATATCCAGATAGAGGCCGTGGCGATCGTGAGGCGAATTCTGATTGGACGCCGCTAATCGCATATCCTATTTAAAGCGTTGTTCGCTCGCTCCATTACTGTCTATGAGATTGCGCGTCGATCGTTCGTGTTTCCACTGATCAACTAACCGACTTTGCTGAGCATCGTCATGGCGACTGTTATCCAGAATCAACTAGGCCAGATCAACGCTGATGCAAAGAATGGAGCAGATTTTTACAAAACGTAAGCATTGCCTTCTTTGCAGCTTCCATCACGTTTAAAATGCCGTTGTCATCCTCATCTTCCTTACATTTTAAGCGTCTATCGTATCTTAGTCAATCGTTAAATTCGCTACCCCCTTCGAGACGAGGTTCACCTGCAACCCCCTTCAAACAGACAGGCTTGACAATTCCAAGTCTTTTGCATAAAGTGAAAGATCTTCTCTGAGGTTTGTCTCGAGGATATTTTCCCTGTGGCTGCGAAAATTGATGCGTCATAATGTTGCTTTGTTATATTCAATTTATCAATGATCTGTTCACAGGGTGGTAGAGCAGCGTTTTGTCTATTAGGAACGAAACGATATATTAAACGGATAGATGTGTGACCAAAAAGATCCTCAGTAACTTAGTTCCTTTATCAAGTGGAAAGAACAGGCCTCGACTGATGCGACAGAAATATTTTCCTCATTGCTTAACTCTACTTAAAACAGCCAGTCTCAATACTGAATAATTCTTGTACTTCCGGACTATCTCTCTCCCAGCGTCAAACGCTGTAGTCAACGTTTAAGATCTTGTGGCAGTACCTGAACATCGGCAGGCAGCACCCCACATCTGACGTAAAATTCATTTGCACGCATCTTGTTCAAAGTCATTATTGGGTCTTCTACCTCGCACTGAGCATGAGAAAGAGACAAGGTCCTGTTTAATGACATTTGCAAAGCAAGTGCTGACCTGTTTCTGATATTTTCCAAACCGTCTATTTACTTAATCCACCGTTTCTAAGGTTTTCTTGGAACTATCTTCCTGAATAAATTGATCCTTTTCCACCTTAAGGTAACTAACATATGATGCCATCAATCATTTGGCTATGTCTAAAGCTTAAATCTTGTAGATTTTTCACAATGGAGCCGACTCTGTCAAAGTATTTTGGCAGCGATCACATCAACCCTGACGAAGTCCCTTCCAGCGCAAAGTTTCAGAAGCTGGGCGAAGCGTTTCTTAAACAAATGAAGGAATTCGTCAGCAAATATCCGGATGATTCAGCGCTCAAGGACGCTCTTAAGCCGTTCATGGCGGAACACAAAAAGTATAAAGTGGGTCCGGCGGAGATGAAGGTAATCCTGACTGACGGTGTTTTGCACGAATCGCAATTCATGCTTTCCAATCAAATGACTTTACCTTTAGAAAGCGGGTCCAATCTGGCTCAAATTCATCGAGAATCATGCCGGCCTGACCTCCGAACAGAAGGGAGCTTGGTTGACGTTCTTCGACAAGCTGATCCACCTGGCAGAACAGGTCTAAACTTCGACATGCTCAACTAGCGACAACTGTCAACCAAATAGATTTGTTTTTTGCTTATATACATAAGTTCGCGCTAAAACACTACAGTAATGTGAATTTTATTACTAGAGATGTTCGATTGTGATAGTCGTCATTATCTGGTGTTTATTTACTAGTAAATATTTTGATAAAGGATAGTTGCGAGACATGTTCATATTCAAGGGACATGAACGACTTCAATATATAGTAGCTCATCATCGTCATTTCATGCTTCAACGTGAACACTATTCAGACATTTCTCGATTGAGACAAAAAAGCAACATGAAGCCAAATTCTCATTCCTTTAGGACATATATACGAACGACGATATCCATCATTTCATCGTAATTTGTATGCGAATTACTCTTTATTTAATTGGACACGCTTTCACAGCACAAAGCGATTTATCAGCAACCGGTTTGAGATTGCTTTGTTAGATGACAGCTTCAAAGTTCACGGCAGAATTTTACATCCACAACAGCAGCTATGGAAAAATATATTTGAACGTAATTTGCACTGTCATATGATACCTTAAAAGCTATTTTAAAATGATTTATTCCTAGCCAAACAGCTTAAGCCCAGTCTGACAAACAACCAGCCCCAGGAAACTAGGTCTTCCTACAATTTAATCGCATTTAATATTTTCGCAACTTTTATTTGTCTTGAAAATCTTAAGTCACTGCTTTTACAGAACGTCTTTAGAAAGTTATTGATTATTGTCGCCTGATGGTCTCATAGTCGCATAAGCTGTGATTTGGTTTTCAGACATAAAGAGCGAGGCGAGGACAGATATCAGTCGTTCATGCTCAGCAGGTTTGTCTAACAGGACCAACCTCCTTGACTGAATCTCCGAGTCTACTGAGGTCACTTCTGCTCGAAAGGGAAGAGAGTCATTCCTTTCTGGCCTAT